AACTTCGCTGATTAAGATCCACTCGCACTTCAAATGCTGCATACTATTTGGACTCTTGTTTTCGAAGTGTGAAGGGGGCGTGAGGGTTTCGGTGTGATGACGACGGTAGACTGGCAGACTTGCAGCCCCGAAGGCTGTGAGGGTGCATCTTCCCACTTCTGAAGACAAGAAATGTTGAACATAGTTATCAAGAAGCTACTATGTTAGAAGTCATCGCTAGTAAGTTGGAGGCCAATACTGTAACAAGAAACTACTAGTAACAAGGTGCCTTACTACCAGAGCCCAGGTTCCATTTCAACGACACGTGGGCAAACACCCACCAAAGGTGGCTTTCGACTTTAGACCTTGGAACGAGGATCCGAAAATAACATCCTATTTCCCTGAGCCATGTTTTCCCTCAGGAAGGGCCATGAGGGACGTATCACCTGTGCGAGTTTCAATTTGCAAAGTTCCGTCCTATGCACTGGTAGCTCTGATGGCGGCCTGAAGCTGTGGGACGTGGCCGCCCGGTTCCAATGACTGCTATTTTGGTTGTTTGGGGAGGTGCCCAAAACATTCATGGTGACGGATATGATTTAAGTGTTGATTATGTTTGTTTGTTGTGTTCTTCTTTTTTGAGGGGCACGGTTTGTCTCAAACTCAATTGCCTGAAGTACGACCAATTTGAACGTTTCAGCAGGCAAATGAGAGCGCTGTCAAGCCGAAATGCTGAAATGCTACAATAGTTGCAATTACTTACACCATAATAAGATTTACTAATTGTTATTCCTGGCAACAAAACAACATTACCCCTTTCCATGCATCCTTCTTCTTCATAGCTTTTACACTGAGGTGTTGTTGTTTGATTTCTTTTGGCCACGCACCTTGGGCGCCAAGGAAATTGGCCTCGCGATTTTGTCCCTGCGCGGGCATTCTGGTGACATCTCGTCAGTGAGCTTCAGCACAGATGGCAACTCAGTGATGAGTGGAATGGATGGGTTTGATCGAGCTCAAAGTTAGTCAAAGGAATTATATATTGAATTTGGAGATGATTTGTTGTGGACCGGAGGCCTTGCCTTCGCCCGGAGTGAAGAAGACTTCGGGAGGCGTTTAAGGTCTTTGAAGTCTCGAACTGTTCGAGCATAATTTTCAGCAGCTCTCCTTTGCTTGAATATTTTTCAAGGGTTTGCTTGAAAAGAGATGTTTAGGGAGAGTTTTTGAGATCATTCTTGTCAGATGGCAATCGCAAGAATGAGGGGTTTGGAAAGGCACTGTGGGTTTGGCTCGGGCGACTGAGGTGAGAAGATTCTGAGCGGCTCCTTCGACAACACTGCCAAAATTTGGGATGTTCGAACTGGAAAATGCCACTTCCCTGAACGATTCTCCCTTGAAGTTGCCCAGCCCTCGCGTTTTCAGTGGTTTCCGTGCTTGTTTTTTTCAGCTCGGAGGGTAGCTTCAAGATGTTCATATGTGTTCATATGTGTTCCTATGACTCCACGCGGTCCATGGTTAGGAACTGACTGACGGATAGTGTTGCCACGAAGTCCCCCTCCCTTGGCCCAGTCCGAGGCCTTCACACGTTGTCCGGGCATGGCAGTGAGATCAAATCCAAGCAACTCCAAGATGGACATCGCGGTGGCTCGGATCCGATCCGAGCGTTTTCGGGAGGCGAACGCCACGAGGAGACACCTCCACGAGGAGACACCGGACGAGGACGAGCAAATCGACTAACACCGAACCAGTTGTTTTCTGCCCAAGCAGCCAGAAATTGCAAGGCTGCGTTGATGGATTCTTGTTGGGTGTCAGCGGAATATGGACGGTGTTGTTGTTAAAGTTCCACGATGTTCCACGTGCAAGAATTCATGACCACCTGCAGAGAGGGTTGAATGACGATTTGTTTGTTCGAGTTCCAGGCTACATCTCAGCCGCATCCTTCGACTTCGCTGGGCATTTGTGCCTCACTGGAAGCTTTGACGGAACATGCAAGCTTTGGAGAGTGAAAAATGGGAGGTGTATGGACACCCTGAGAGGCCGGTGTCACGAGAAATTGCATTTTCAATGTGCTGAAGGCTGAAGGGATTCAATTGGATGCCCCTGCTTCGAATCCATGCCCCTCGAGTCTCTCAAACGTCAAACATTAACATGTTGAGCAGAATGAAAGTGCCAATAAAGGCGGCAGGCGTTGTTGTTTGCGCCCCCTCCCCGGTAGGCCACAACATGGAGAAGAAGGGGCAGGTGGACCGACCGAGTGGCATTCATCCGGCCACTTGGGATCAAAAATGCTCAATTGCATTCCTTGAATCTAACGGCCGCCTCCCAAGCAGACACATGGAAGCCAAAAACATGCACATAGAAGCCCATGGCATCCCATGGCGTTCTTTTGGTTGTGCTGTGTATCCAGCTCCCTAGGTGATCCCACTGAACATGGTTGCTGCATAGGAGCAGCTGGCATCCCCAAGAAGCAGAAAAGGACTTGTTAGGAGTTTCGAGGGTGCTCCATAGTGCTCCCTTAAAGCAGTCTCGACTCAACACTAGCTCTGGAGACTCGACAGGCTCATGTCGAACGATCAGCCCACACATATATAGGTCGTGAACTGCGTTGAGCGACTACGTGTCTTTCAAGAAGTCCAAGAAATGAACAACGGGGCACCTTTTCTTTCTTCATTATGTTTGTCTTCCTTGAGGTGCTTCATGCTTGTTTCAATCCTGTGGGCGATCGCTTTGCTACCTGCTCGACCGATTGCAACATACTGGTCTATCGTGTGGCGGACGAGGAGGGTGGTCAGGCCGGAATAGCGCACACAAGGGTCCCAAGGCCCACCTTGGCTGCCAAACGGTTCACATGTTTGTGTTTGCTTGAAGTTTGGGCAGATTTTCTTCTAAATTGAACTGCGTGACTAAGCAAGAGGGTGGTAAATGAGCGAGTACCGTGCGGAGTATATAGCATCTGCGGAAGACTCGAGCAGCCAAATGTACTCCTCTCTCCAATATAGGGAAGTTGCGCCAAAACCGCATTTTCGAATTGGGATAGACCTATAATTCGATGGTCGATGCTATATATATATAATATGTGTAGCGAGATTCTGACATAGATTTGGACACGATGCGATAGATAAATACAGCGCGCTGACAAACATCACATACCTGCCCTAAGGTGATGACGGCTCTCGTTTGCAAGCTGTGCCTTGGCTGCAAGGCCTCATGATGAGCCTCAGAAGTGGAGAGCCAAACGTAGCCGGCTGCCTCCTCCAAAACTAGGACCAGTGAACCACAGGGGGTTGTTCCGACAAGTGAGTTTCCATGTTGGCCTTGTGTCCCTTTTACAGTAGGAATCATAGTGGCTTGGCAAAGAAAATCTTTCTTTGCCATGTGAATGGAACACGTTTGCAGAATAGCAGGTCATGTGAAGAATGGTTTGTTGATGTTTGTTGTCAGTCTCATATATATATATAAAGAAGTGGTGCTGCTCATAAATTCTCTCAGCTTTGTGCTATCTCGAGTGCCTTTTCATGGGCTTGTGATGTTTGATGGGTCCACCGCGCAAACTGGAAGCATCCTGGTACCTCGCCGAAAAGTACCTCGCTCCTTTAGCACCCTCGAGCAAGCCCTTGGGTCCTATCCCTTATGCCCATCAGAGTTGAACTTTTGTCCCCACGCACAAGCCCCTTTCCCCCAGCGGAACGACCTGCTTCAGCGCCAAACCTCGCTGTTTGACACCGTTGGACCGTTGGGAGCCTATCCGTTGAGTGAGATGCCAGGAATGGTGCGGGCCCCGTCAGCAAAGTGCAGTTTAGCCCCAATGGGCGGAAGCTGATCTCCATCTCCGATCGAAGCTGCCGTTTGTGGTCCATCAAGGACACGAAATGGGCTGGGCTGATGGACATTGCGAAGCGCTGGGGTTCTGAAAGGGAACAAGATGAGGATTGAGGTGTGCATGTTGTGAGGTAAATGAACATGAACAAACTAGGTATTGTACCTATACAGCCTGTTTGCTAGATGGACTTGCCCTCCAAGAGGCCATTCTCTCACTTGCGTGATACTAGTTCCGACTCTGAGACGACTCCAAACCGTAGGAGCAAACCATTTGGAACACCGAAGGCAACACGGAAACCGCTTCGTGCCAGGAAGGGACTTGCCTCCAAGTCCTGGAGGGTCACGGCGATGAAATCCTGGACTGCACCTTCGACTACGAAGGAGATACCATCATCACTGGGTCCAAGGACAATACCTGTCGAATCTGGAGGGACAGAAGTTTGATGGCCGAAGATTAGAGAGAAACGGTTTCCACAATGGTCTCCGTGGTCTCCAAATAGATAACGGTTTCCATTACATGTTGAAAGGGGTTTTACTTTTCTGGTCTATACTGTAGATATAGGACGCCTGGGTGAAGTGACACAGTTTGAAGATCTTTGCACGTGCCCACGGTTTGCCTCGATCTGTGAGATTCTTGAGCCACACTTCACCCCGACGGTAGTCTCGGGTGGGAAAACACCACCGAGAGATGAGTGACCTCAGCCATCGCCCGTGGAACAGCCGCGGACGGGCAGAAAGAGCAGAACGCAAAAGAGCCGAAAGCATCGCTGAAGATGAGGGACCTCCCGAAAGAAGAACGGGAACGGAGACTTGTCAAAGGATGGAGAAGGAGACTAGAACATTTGGACATACGGGTTCATCATGGTTCATCTATGGTTCATCTAATTTTCAATATCATGATGATTCCTCCTGTTGCTGCTGGGTCGAGTTATTTGACAACAATTCATCCTTTTACTGCTGGGTTTGCTGTTTGGTGTTCTTCGGGCTGGAGGATGAGGTTCTTCAAACTTCATGTGAATCAAGTTCTGCACGGGATAGGACAACGCATGAGGACGTGCGTGACTTTGAGTGATGCTAGGACCCAGACGACCGATTCCGGCCAGCCTGATGAACATCAAACCATCCAAGCTGGTGATGCATCCTCTTTTGACCACAGTGTGTCTTCTTCCAGGGGTAAGACATTAGTGAGAAGAAGATCGGGCAAGAGTTTCAGGTGCACCAATCTCCATCAAACATGGCCTGTAGATGGCCTGTATAGATCTTGAAGCGCGATTTCGAGATCCACACCAGCCGAAGACACCAGCAATTGGCAAGAATTTCCACCTATTATCTGCAGGTCGCACATCTCATTGCAGTAATTATGCTACATTGAAGCAATGCTTTTCCATGCTTTTCCTGCCAACCTGTCCAAGGCGCAACAATTGGGCCGGGAAGCCTGAAGTTGTTGAGGAGGTTGTGCGTTGGCTTATTGGCGCCTAGCGCTTGAATGACTGAATGAGCTATTGATAGCTATTGAAAGGGCAAACTCAGCGCGATGAGGATCGAGAATGATCAGCAGGAAGTCTCCAATGATGGAATGGACACAACTGGCCTTTGCAAAGAAGGGAGGGTTTCCTCTGTGCGGTTCAGGTGTGGTTCGTCTTATATTCCCATGGCAATATCCTTTGTAACATGGGGAGGGTCCGCCCTCTCCATATTTGCTTTATGACCCCTACCCATTGGGGGGGACGTTCTTATGCGAGACGAATGGTCCCAACGTTGGGACCGTTCGTCTTGGAGGTTCGCCTCGCCGGTTTCGCCACGTCCACTCTTCCACGTGGGATCCACCGGTGGCCCAAATAGCGACGAGTGGTCGCTCTTGGTCGCTGAGGGGAGTGTTTGAAAGAGAACCAGTTCCATGAATGGCCGTCCGGGTGACCCAAGTTGAGAGAAGAAACGGCAGATGGTTGAACAGCTGTGGTGCATGTGACAGATGTGTGTGCCTTTTAATGCCCAACAGTTGCGCCTTGTTTCACCTCAATTCGCACGCTGTGCGAATTGATACAGCTATTTCGGCACAGCACTCCACCGGAGACCGAACTGCTCGGGGGCTCCCAGAGACCGAACTTGGGAAGGTCCGGTTTCCGTGGCATCTTCGTGGGGATCTCCTCCATGTTCTACGCAGCTCGGGAGACCGCGACAGTTCGAGAAGGGTCTGCCGTTCGAACGCGAGAACTGGAGTAAGTTTGGCGTCGAAAGCAAGTAAGTAAGGGTGGGCATAAGGTTTAGCTCGTCCATCTAAGCTGCCTACTACTGAAACTTCTTGGGCGCACAAGGGTGTTTCATGGATATGATGATATGATGATATGATAAGCATGCATACCGACACATGCACATACGCAGACCCACAAAACTTTGTGCCTGTTTGTTTGAGCAAGGGTGTAGGATTCTACCTTATAAATACTGTAGGAGTCTATGAGATACGATGGGGGCTTTCCGGACCTTCAGAATATGTATGACGTTCGTCGGGAGTTCCTTTGTTTTTGGAAAGCTCAATTCAGCTGAAGCAAAGTTCGGCAATCACACAGACCAAGGGGTTGCAGATTGTGAAGGTTTGAGTTCTTCCGTCGTGCCTGTCGTGCCTGCACATGCACGCGCAGGATGCAGGAATCACTGCTAGACTCATCCAGAAGAAGGTTCGGGGGCCAGCGATCTTGAAAGATTGCTGAAACAGTTGGAAATGAGGTTGTGTGCTTGCGGCCATGTCAAGCTAATGCAGATCAGAGCATGTTTTTCAAGAGTTGGGGTCGAGTTGGGTTAGCTTCTCAGGGGGAAACAAGCTAATGTTGACCGTTGAGAAATAAAACTCCGGAATTAGCAGAATGGTGTTACCTCTCCTTATTACTGGGGGCGTTTATTCATCAGTGACATTGATGATTGCTTTTTAGAGGCTTGGCTGAAAACTACATGCAACATGCTCCCCAAAACATAGTAGCTAAAAACACTTGCTGAGCTATGTAGACTTGGCGAGAACTTCTAGACGACTTTGGGTAAGAACTTCGGGCCGGACGACGAGAGACGACTGAGACTGGACCGCGGGGTGTCCGCGCGCGCGCGCCATGGGGAGGACTGCTTGAGCGCCTTTAGCAGTGCCCTGGAATCGGAGATTCGAGATCCCCGAGGCGAAGTCGATGACGACGGAGGGCGGTGAACCGGAGGTGGAGCACGGAGATGTTTCATGTTTGCTGGGACTGAGCTGTCGAAGTGAGACTCTCTTTGATCAAGAATGCTGCTAAGCCTTGAAACTGCTGCTAAACTATTGATTTATTTGTCGCTTCTAACTTTCTTCAGCCACAGGCCACAGGCCATTCTCTTTCTGGATGTCCGAGCGATTTCTCAGCGTTGTCCTTGCATGTCGTATGTCGTTCTTCAGCCAAGGGGCTGCTGGAGATTTGAAGAAGCTCCAGCTGCATCAGCAAAAGGCTTGGTCGTTGGGGCTACTGGTGGAGCAGGGAAGGACTTGCAGAATTGTTCTTATGCTCGAAAGTGAGTGCTGTGGCTATGATGACCAAACATGCCGTTTGACCCTCGTCCTTGCCGTTCTCGTCCTCGCTTTTTCTGTGGTGGGTTCCACATGACGCACGAAGCCATGAAGCTCTTGATGGGGTGTTGGCCATCATGCCCCCTAGCAGAAGGCTCGATCAATTCAATCACCACTCAAGCGTCGATCCACAGAGGCCATCGCGTGTCTCATCATGACTTCCATAGTTTCAAAGCAGTTTTCTTACTAGCTTAGTTTGGTGTTCAGCCCGAGCGCAGTTATTGGGGTCACTTGACGGGGTGACCAGACAGTGACAGATCATTGGACCATCCACGAGTGTGATTTCCTTTGATGTCTGGATCACACCATAGATAGCCTGAATCAAGATGTAGGATATCCTGAGAGATAGCCTGAATCCTTGTTTGTCACACCATCAAAGAAAGACGAACGGCAGGATGTTGGATACAGGCTATCTTGTCGAACGCAGGTGACCAGGTCACGAGCCATTTTGCTACAGGATGATGACCTAGCGGCTCAGAAGGCTCTGGCGCCACGTTGTTTTTGATTGTTTTTTGCTTTTGGCCCAACAGCTGCTTTGCCTTTGGCGCCACGAAAGTGCTGGCGAGCTCTCCGCCATGCAAACTCCAGTGGAGATGGATGACAATGACTGGGTGGCAGATTGGGAGAGCCGCATGGAGGCACTCCTCCTCGCTAACAACGATGCTGGGCATGTGAAAGGAAACCAAACACCGCTTTGTTGTGGCTCGCTTCGAAATGCAGCATCCATCCAAGCCCTTTGAACAAACGTACATTGTCTCACAGCGTTGGTCGTTTCCTAAGGAACGGCTCATGATGAAGCTGGAGGAATTTGTTGGGCGGTTGGAACCTTGTCCTAGTATCCTAGAGTGATTGAGAAGGTGATCATAGAAATGCAACCGCAGGAAGAGCTCCAAGAGTAGACCCCCCAGCCAGGCTTGGATCTTCTTCCTGCAGCGCAGTTCTGTGAGGCGACGTGTTTTTTTCTACATCTTCCACTTAGGGGATCCCAACCATATCACGAAAGGTAGCCTGGTAAGGACTACCTTGAGTTTGCTTTGCGAAGCAAAGGGACTGGCTTGAGAGCTTGCTCGGGACTAAAGATTGGTAGATCAATGTCTAACACCCCCACCCCCCCCCTGAAATGTAGAGGCCTACTTGTACAGGTTCCACTCCAGTGGCCTATCTAGTGTGTCCATGCTTGACTGCCATAAGGCTCAAGAGGATAAGACTCTGCGTATAAAAGACACTAGCGGTCTGCACCTCAACCGTGTACGCCCTAGTCACTCTTTCAGTGGTAGCGGAGCAGTGATCCTGGAAGACCCAGGTGAGCTCCTTTCCTAGGCATAGACTTGCTTTTAGGCAAACGGCCATGGATTGGATTGACGACTGGGAAGAGCCTGATGCGGATGTGGCTTATGAGCCAGCAGCCTATGTGAATAGGCATGTGAGAAGAGAACCAGCAGCTATAGCAATGACAACACAGGTCACTACAAAGGTGCCCCCATCTTATGATGGAAAGACTTCATGGTTTTCCTATGAGGATGCCATAGACGATTGGTGTGATATCACCGAGCTGGAGGATGAGAAGAGAGGACCAGCTTGGAGAAACAGATTAGAAGGAGAAGCAGCTGTATACAAACGTGTTTTAGACAGAGATGCATTGAAGGCGAATGATCCACCAGGAGCTGGAGTAGAGTACTTCAAACGAGTACTACGACCATATTTTGTGAAAGGAGCAACAAATGTATTCCTGTATAGGTTTATGCAATTCGTGCGCTTCAATCGCGGATCAGCTGATATGATGAAGTGGATGACAAGATTTCAGATTTTACTCCAAAGGCTTATGAGCAGTTGGATGGACATGTTGGAGCCAGTCACACAAGCACATCCTCAGGTGCAAGCTCAGATGCAGGCTGATGCAGTGATGAATGGAGTAGCTCCAACGGCAGAAAGAATTCAGGAAATCATGCAGAATATCAATGGCAATCTGAGAACTTTTCATCAGAACGAATTTCCCTTGGGAGAAA